ACAAAGATAATTTACACAGGAGTGCTTTTAAGAAATGATTAAAAATGGTGACAATTACTTGTCTCAATAAAATACTCTCATGAAACCATCATTTTAAAGCATCCTCATCCATGCTTACTGTTCCTGGTAATTTTACTGATGTTTAATTCATTTCATAATGTATTACAGTTTTAATTAAAGGGCAGACAGAAGCTTCACTAGGATCATGCTCTCTTTCCACTCAGCAAAGTTTATCCTTATAAATTTAGTGCTCACAACGAAAGAGGCAGTCAAAGGCATAGGGAGCTGACCATGTTTTATTTAAATAATTGGGTCATGTGTATTTCTGGATTATTACAGGCAGACAGTTTGGAGAGTATTCCACATTTCTTGGCAGAGCCTAGTGAAAGTGTTTATGGCTCCATTTGTTTGTAAAAACATCTTAGTGTTCCGTGAATTCCTGGTTACAGAAAATTTGCTCCTATCCTTTTCTGTGCCTGGTAACCATCAATGAATGTTTCTTTCTGTACTTAAATTTTTTAACACTGTTACTGTACCATATGTGGTTGACTCCTTTCACTCAATATAATGTTCTCTAGGCTCATATATAATCAAGGATGCTTTAGGCAGAATATTAAATGATTGCAGAGGTATTAAAAGAAGATGGAGGGAATATAATGAGTCATTGTATCGAAAGGAATTGGAAGACACAGAAGAATTTAATGAAATAACATTTGAGCAAGAGCCTATGATGATGAAGGAAGAAGCTGCTTTGAAGGAAATAGCAAAAAATAAGGCCCCAGGAATAGATGGTATACCAATTGACATATTTCGGCTAACAGATGCTGCCTTGGATGTGCTCACCAAGTTGTGCCAAGAAATCTGGAGAACAACCACTTGGCCAACTGACTGGAAGAGATTGATATTTGTTCCCATTCCAAAGAACAGTGAACCAACTGAGTGTGGCAACTACAGAACAATATCATTGATTTCACATGCAAGCAAGATTCTACTGAAGATTATCCAAAAATGACTGGAACAGTACATCAGCAGAGAACTGCCAGAAGTCCAGGCTGGGTTTAGAAGGGCTCGTGGTACTAGGGATATTGTAGCTGATGTTAGATGGATCTTAGCTGAAATCAGGGAATATCAGAAGAATGTCTATCTGTGTTTCATTGATTATGCAAAGGCTTTTGACTGTGTGGATCATAACAAACTGTGGCTGACTCTGAGAAGGATGGGTATCGCAGAACACTTGATCATGCTAATGCGAAACCTATACTTGGACCAGGAGGCAGTCGTCAGAACAAAGCCGGGTAACACTGCATGATTCAAAATTGGGAAGGGTGTATGCCAGGGATGTGTCCTATCTCCATACCTTTTTAACCTGTATGCAGAGCAGGTTATCCGAGAGGCTGGGCTCTATGAGGAGAAGTGTGAAGTTAGGATTGGTGGAAGATCTATTAACAGTTTGTGTTATGCAGATGACACAACCCTGCTTGCTGAAACTGAGGAGGACCGCATGCACTTGCTGCAGAGGTTCAAGGACTGCAGCCTTCAGTATGGACTGAGGCTCAGTGTCAAGACAAAGATTCTCACCACTGGACCAATTGGTAGGTAGCATCAGGATGGATGGCAAAGAGTTTGAGATTGTTCACAGCTTCAGTTTGCTCGGCTCCATTGTCGGCTGTTAGGGACCTCTCTAAAGTACTCGAGCAACGGTGTCTCTGGAGACTAAGGTGTGCCTGATACAGTCCATGGTCTTTGCAGTCACTTGTTATACATCAGAGAGTTGGACAATGACTAGGGAGGATAGAAGGAGAATTGATGCCTTTGAGCTGTGGTGCTGGAGAAGAGTATTGAATGTACCATGGACTGCCAAGAAAACAAACAGATTCATCCTGGAGAGGGTTAAACTAGTCTTCTCCTTTGAGTCAAGGATTCTGGGGCTTCGTCTGACATACTTTGGACATGTTGTAAAGAGAGATAGGTCCTTGGAGAGGGACATCATGCTTGGTAGTGTGGAGGGACGGCGCAGGAGGGGAAGACCCCCTATGAGGTGGATTGATTCATTGATTGGGGTTATTGGGATCGGTGTGTCAGAGGCAATGCGATTGGCACAGGCTAGAGCAGGGTTTAGGGCTGTTGTACATAGGATCACTATGAGTCGCTAACGACTCGACGGCACATAACAACCACAACAGGCTCATCTGTGTTGTGAGATGTGTTACGGCTTCATTGTTATTCTTACGTTTTTCATAGCAATCCATTGTGTGTGGGTGTTGTTGTTATGTGCTGTCAAGTCCCCTGCGACTTAAAGCGACCAGAGTACTAATTGAATGGTTACATATATAAAGTACACAGTGTGCTGCTAGTTCTTTAATCCACAGATCACTATGCAAATAACAGATAGTCATCTTTATCTATTACCAATCAGGCTGTTTTTATTAAAATCTGTTACTGATCTGAAAATAGTATGTAGTTCAGTTTCATCCTTATTTCCTAGTGATCTATGTGCTCTTTTATAAATGGATAACCATACAACAGAATTGATCAAAAGATAAGAGAGTAGCAAAGAAATGAAAAATATTAACAATGGAAGTGAAATGCGATGAAGTCAGAAGATTTGAAAATGATGAAAGCAAAACAGATATGGAGAAGACACAGGCTTTTGTGAAGCTGTTTCACTATCTTTTAGTTTTAATTGCACCAGGGACAGAAAGGTACTTATGGTTGAAATGTGGGACTTGCTTCTATTTCAAAGGGAACAAAAACACACATCCCAGTCAGTTTGGCTTAGCACTCAGGTCTTAGTGTTGCAGAAAGAAAACTTGTTGTTGAAAAAAAACTAATGTCAAAGAAATTGAAAAAGAACATTTCGTTACCAGTAAGGACGGTTTCATTGTTTCAGAAGGGGTATGAATTGACTAATGTTAAGTCTGGAGAAAGACTAACTGAGATCATGATACTGCTTCAAATTTTTCACCTAAATTTCATGGAGGACCGGCAGTTCTTGCTCTTTATGGTGGTGAGAGATTATACTGTATCCAAAACTTTGTAGAATTCAAGAAGAGATGCAGAATATTGATACTGCTATTGTTCAAGAGACTATGCCTGCAACTGAAAGAATTTAACAGAGGCAAATAAAAGGACATAGATGAGAAGAGAGATGTTAAAAAAAAAGATGTCATAGGAGGTAATGCTGGTAAAAAATATGTTAAATGAGCTCTGAGAGATAATGCATAACATTGACAGTGCACAAGATAAAAGTTTTAGAAGTTGATTCAAGCTTAAAAAATAATATGATAATTTACTAAGGCCAAGAAAAGATACTTGCACTGAATTTTAAATTACATGTTGAGAAAGCAGCCACCAACATTGAAGATATTGAAAAAGGTATTATTAGAAGTAGAAAACGTTAATTCTAATGTTTTAAGTTATAATGTATTAAATATTACTATATTTTTATATTTTTAACCGGCAATGAAAGGCACTTTTGAAACATTTAAAAAATCCTGAGAAATCACAAATAGATTATGAAGTATGTACAGTTTCAGCTTGCAAGAGTAATGTGCATTTGAAATAAACTGAAAGTCTTCATATTTAACCAGATAGTGAGTGAAGCCTAGGAACTTCATTTTATACTTATGGTAATTGGTTATATTGACATTTACTTTTCATATTGTCTTTATATGCTATTTTCCCAATGCTTGGAAATAAAATTTGGTGGTATTGGTGGTGTAAAATTAAAAAAAAAAGTTTAGATTAGGTCCGCAGCCCAGTGTGAGGCAAGATGATGAGGCGCAGCCTGGAGAACCGGGACGCTCAAAGCAGGCAACTGCAAGATGCTGTCACGAATGTGGAGAAGCATTTTGGAGAGCTGGGCCAAGTCTTTGCTGTGTATGTGCGCAAAACTGCCAGACTGCGAGACAAAGCGGACCTGCTGGTGAATGAAATCAACGTGTACGCCTCGACAGAAACCCCCCAATTAAGACAGGGCCTGAAAAACTTTGCTGATGAGTTTGCCAAACTTCAGGATTATCGATAAGCAGAGGTTGAAAGACTTAAAGCCAAAGTAGTTGACCCTTTGAAAGCTTATGGAACCATTGTAAAAATGAAACGGGATGACCTCAAAGCCACATTAACAGCAAGGAATCTAGAATCTAAGCAGTTTAACCCAGTTAGAACGGACACGTCAGTGAAACCCATCTGACCGACATGTTATTTCACAGGCTGAAACAGAACTACAGAGAGCTACAATGGATGCTACCCAAACAACACGTCACCTGGAGGAAACAATTGACAACTTTGAAAAACAGAAAATAAAAGACATAAAGAATGTATTTTCTGAATTTATCACTATTGAAATGTTATTTGACAGCAAAGCTTTAGAGGTCTACACTGCTGCCTTCCAAAATATACAAAAGATTGACGAGGAAGAAGATATAGAGGTTTTCTGAAACACTGTGTATCCACCAGATTATTTATCTTGTTTAGATATTGTAAGAGCAAAATCAAAGTCACCTCTTCAGAAATCTTTGTCAACCAAGTGTGTACCTGGAACCGGACAGGTATCCTCCACCTACCGACTGAAAAAGGATCAACAAGT